TTCATTAGTGTCTTATAGTCTTCTGCATACAGGTCTTTTGTCTCCTTAGGTAGGTTTATTCCTAGGTATTTTATTCTTTTTGTTGCAATGGTAAATGGGAGTGTTTCCTTAATTTCTCTTTCAGAATTTTCATTATTAGTGTGTACATAGGAATGCAAGAGATTTTGGTGCGTTAATTTTGTATCCTGCTACTCTACCAAATCCATTGATTAGCTCTAGTAGTTTTCTGGTGGCATCTTTAGGATTCTCTATGTATAGTATCATGTCATCTGCAAACAGTGACAGCTTTACTTCTTCTTTTCTGGACTTGGATTCCTTTTATTTCCTTTTCTTCTCTGATTGCTGCGGCTAAAACTTCCAAAACTATGTTGAATAAGAGTGGTGAGAGTGGGCAACCTTGTCTTGTTCCTGATCTTAGTGGAAATGGTTTCAGTTTTTCACCATTGAGAATGATGTTGGCTGTGGGCTTCTCATATATGGCCTTTATTATGCTGAGGTAAGTTCCCTCTATGCCTACTTTGTGGAGGGTTTTTATCATAAATGGGTGTTGAATTTTGTCAGAATCCTTGCATTCGTGGGATAAATCCCACCTGATCATGGTGTATGATCCTTTTAATGTGCTGTTGGATTCTGTTTGCTAGTATTTCTTTCTTTTTTTTTTTTTTTTTGCGGTACGCGGGCCTCTCACTGTTGTGGCCTCTCCCGTTGTGGAGCACAGGCTCTGGACGTGCAGGCTCAGCGGCCATGGCTCACGGGCCCAGCCGCTCCGCGGCATGTGGGATCTTCCCGGACCGGGGCACGAACCCGTGTCCCCTGCATCGGCAGGCGGACCGTCAACCACTGCGCCACCAGGGAAGCCCTAGTCTTCATTTTAAAGTCTATTTTGTCTGATGTGAGAATTGCTACTCCAGCGTTCTTTTATTTCCATTTGCATGGAATATCTTTTTCCATCCCCTCACTTTCAGTCTGTATGTGTCCCTAGGTCTGAAGTGCATCTCTTGTAGACAGCATATGTTTCTGTATCCATTCAGCCAGTCTGTCTTTTGGTTGGAGCACTTAATCCATTTACATTTAAGGTAATTAATGGACATGTTATGTTCCAATTACCATGTTCTTAATGGTTTTGGGTTTGTTATTGTAGGTCTTTTCTTTCTCTTGTGTTTCCTGCCTAGAGAAGTTCCTTCAGCATTTGTTGTAAAGCTGGTTTGGTGGTGCTGAATTCTGTCAGCTTTTGCTCGTCTGTAGAGGTTTTAATTTCTCCGTCCAATCTGAATGAGATCCTTGCTGGGTAGAGTACTCTTGGTTGTAGGTTTTTCCCTTTCATCACTGTAAGTATGTCCTGCCACTCCCTTCTGGCCTGCAGAGTTTCTGCTGAAAGATCAGCTGTTAACCTTATGGGGATTCCCTTGTATGTTATTTGTTGCTTTTCCCTTGCTGCTTTTAATTCTTTGTATTTAATTTTTGATAGTTTGATTAATGTGTGTCTTGGTATGTTTCTCTTTGGATTTATCCTGTATGGGACTCTCTGTCCTCCTGGAGTTGATTATTTCCTTTCCCATATTAGGGAAGTTTTCAACTGTAATCCCTTCACATATTTTCTCAGTCCCTTCCTTTCTCTCTCTTCTTCTTCTTCTGGAACCCCTATAATTTGAATGTTGGTGTGTTTAATGTTTTCCCAGAGGTCTCTGAGACTGTCCTCAATTCATTTCATTCTTTTTTCTTTATTCTGCTCTGTGGTAGTTATTTCCACTATTTTATATTCCAGGTCACTTATCCGTTCTTCTGCCTCGGTTAGTCTGCTATTGATTTCTTCCAGAGAATTTTTAATTTCATTTACTGTGTTGTTCATCATTGTTTGTTTGCTCTTTTGTTCTTCTAGGTCCTTGTTAAATGTTTCTTGTATTTCCTCCATTCTATTTCCAAGATTTTGGATCATCTCTACTGTCATTACTCTGAATTCTTTTTCAGGTAGACCGCCTACTTCCTCTTCATTTGTTCGGTCTCGTGGGTTTTTACCTTCTTCATCTGCTGTGTGTTTCTCTATCTTCTCATTGCCTAAGTTACTGCGTTTGGGGTCTCCTTTTCACAGGCTGCTGGTTCTGTTTTTGGTGTCTGCTCCAAGTGGCTAAGGTTGGTTCAGTGGGTTGTGTAGGCTTCCTGGTGGAGGGGACTGGTGCCTGTGTTCTGGTGGGGTGGGGCTGGATCTTGTATTTCTGGTCGACAGGACCGTGTCCGGTGGTGTGTTTTGGGGTGTCTGTGAGCTTATTATGATTTTACGCAGCCTCTCCGCTAATGGGTGGGCTTGTGTTCCTGTCTTGCTAGTTGTTTGGCATAGGGGTGTCCAGCACTGGAGCTTGCTGGTCGCTGAGTTTAGCTGGGTCTTAGTGTTGAGACGGAGATCTCTGGGAGAGCTCTCGCCAATTGATATTACATGGGGCCGGGAGGTCTCTGGTGGTCCAGTGTCCTGAACTCGGCTCTCCCACCTCAGAGACTCAGGCCTGACACCCGGCTGGAGCACCAAGACCCTGTCAGCCACACGGCCAGGTATGTGGGGAGAGTCTTGCCTATTGGGAAGTCTGAGGTCTTCTGCCAGCGTTCAGTGGGTGTTCTGTAGGAGGAGTTCCATATGTAGATGTATATCTGATGCATTTGTGCAGAGGAAGGTGATCTCCTCATCTTACTCCTCCGCCATCTTGAAGGTCCTCCCTGTTCTTTATTCTTAATGATGCTTCAAGGAACAACTTTCTCTATGAACTTCGTATCAGGAAGGGTTGTGCTTTTTCCAGCATCTGATTCTTTTTACTTACAGTCACTCTGGGTCTTGGTTACTAATTGTAGTTTTCTTACTTCCGAAACCTTAGGGTCTAATTTGTGGTCACTTCTAGCATGTGCAAAGGATTTTATATATTCCTTTTGTTCTCATGTTTACTTCATGCCTGTCTTACTTTCTTAACTTTATTTTTCTTAAATGTTTTTAAAATTTTTGCTGTATCAAAGGTGTACAAGCCTCATAGTAAATAATTGTAAGAATAAGAGACATAAATACGTAATGAATGGAGAGCAGAGCACAGTGGAAGTTTTGGTTCTATGATGTGGCCTAAACTTGCCTTATCTTTTAAAGCAGCAGCATACTGTTAGCTTATACAAAGCTCTTCACCATCGAAACTCCTAAAGGTTTTCTGTAGGTACTACAGATACTAGCTCCCTACTTGACTGAGGTCGATTTTTGAATATCAATGTAGGATTCTGTGATTATTAACTTCTTGTTTCTAGACTTATATTTTAATGTTTGGTGTGATCTGTGCATCCCAACTGTGTATCATCTATAGATCTGATAAGGCCTCTTATATGACTGCAACAGACCATATGACCTTCATTGTGTCTGTGAATCTTACTTTAGGAAGGGATGCTTCTGAGCTCATTCTACAAGGCCAGCATCAGCCTGATACGAAAACCAGACAAAGTTTACAAACAAACTCATAGAAAAAGAGATCAGATCTGTGATTACCAGAGGCGGGGTGGGGGGAGAACTGGATAAAGGTGGTCAAAAAAGGTACAAACTTCCAGTTATAAGAAGTTATAAGATAAATACTAGGAATGCAATGTATAACATGGTAAGTATAATTAACACTGCTGCATGTTATATATGAAAGTTGAGAGTAAATCCTAAGAGATCTCATCACAAGGAAAATACTTTTTTCTATGATTTTTGTGTCTGTATGAGATGGATATTCACCAAACTTACTGTGATAATCATTTCATGATGTATGTCAGTCAGATCACACTGTACACCTTAAACTTATACAGTGCTATATGTCAATTATATCTCAATAAGGCCGGAAGAAAAAAGGACAGTGGTGTAAGAGGAAAAAAGGTCCATTTAATAGATATATTAATATATGCTAATATTAATATATATGTATAAAATTGATGAAAACTGTTCAATGGCACAGGAGCTGAGAAGCTGAGAAACAGGATCCTGTTCCAGGCTCTAAAAGACAATCTTTACTTTCCAGACACATTATAATGTGTAAAAATTTTAAAATGTATTTGTATGAATCTCGGTTTAAGTGGTAACTTTAACATTTTTTAGCCCTCAACAACCAATTCAGCACAACTTCCATAAATGCAGTTCCAAAATAAAATACAGGTATCACCAACCAGCCCTCATAAAGCCACCCAACTCTACTCTTTTTGCGGGATATTTGTAAAATCTTCACAAAATAAGCACGTGCAGACACATAGTTTCCCACTCATTAGCTAACAGCTGTTTTTCATTAAGATTATTTAAGTCTTAAGTAATATATCAGAATTAATCAGGAGACGAACAGAGTTCATAATGTAAATGTGGGATACTTTCTAGGTTTTGATAGCTTTTGTGGAAACAAGTTTCTAAACAGACATAACGTTTTCACCATATAGTAATGTTCATTTTGTACGTAAAGCTGCAGACAATGACTAGTGTACAAGAGAAGGGTGAGACGAGGGCAGAGCACATTTCCCTCCTCTAAGTCCCCCTTCACGCCTCAGACCGTGCCCTGCTGTGCTGCCCTCTCCCGCTGACTCCACAGCACCCATGCCACCTCCTGCCTCGAGTTCCATTTCTGCTTCTCTCATGTAAAGAAGAGTGTCTTCACCTCCTCCTTTCCTTGTGCACACGGTACCCCTATACCCTTCATCATTCCCTTGTTAACTGTGCAGAGGAGGCCATGAAATAACATTCACCAGAAAGCTGAAGTGTTTCCAGGCTGTACGTCTGGTTAACGCATATGCTATATTCTGACGAGGAAATCTGGAGTATGTCCTATTGACTTGCTATACTTTAGTCGAAGATTAAGATTCCAGTAAAATACCATTTACAAGCAGAAGATTTCTCCAGATTAGTCTTTATCCTAAAAGAAAAGCAGCGTTTCTAATCATGTGTGTAGATCGCATGTGATGTTAATTTACTACCATAATTGCTATGATATTCACCATAGACAAAGAAAACAAATATTTACCACTGTGGATTCTTAAGTGCTCTTTTAGATGGTGTTTGTATTTGAAAGCTTTTCCACATTCAGTGCACTTGAATTTACGATTACCCCCAGACTGCGTCACATGTCTCTGTAAGAAAGAATTGGTGTTTTATTTATAAAGCAAAAAGGCTTTAGAGATAAAGAACATCCAATCTACTAAAAGTAATGTTTTGGTGATTCTCAAATTTTAACAGTCACAAAAGTCGAACACTTGGAATATTACGAGAAAGGAGGTTGATCATGGCAACAGAATTTTGACATAAAGGAAAATCTCCGCTTCCTACAGGATCAGAGTATGAAGCAGCACAGCATTAGCACAAATACTACGCACTTTGCTAGCAACTAGAGGCCACGTCGCCTGCAGTCTGATTCACAGATAAAGGAACTGCAGTCGAGAACATCGAGTCATCTGTCTCTAGCACAGTTACTACACAGAAGAAAAGGCTGGGCTTTTTCAGCACTTTAGCCTGTCTCTAGTAAGTCTGGTATTTCCAAAATGTACCTTAATCTGACGATTTAAAAAGTACTTCCAGGGGCTTCCCTGGTGGCGCAGTGCTTGAGAGTCCGCCTGCCGATGC